GGCGCCCTCCGTTTCCGGGGAGGAGCGGGAGGAGGGGGCACAGCACTCTCTCCTCTGCGTCTGTCTCCTCCCTCCGCTGGCCGGAGCTGGTCACCTGGTCTCCGCTTAGCGCGAAGGGAGTTGGGAAATGTCGGGGTGCGTGGACTGTTTGGGGAGCACTCGCTGTCCCGTTCATGGCCGTTTCTCCCCATCTCTTTAAGACTCATCCTCAGTTTCTCAGTTGGCTACAGGGGGAGCCCAGGGTGGGAGAAGAGGCCAGCGGAGAGGCGGTGGGCAGAGACCGCCTGGGTGGGCTTGGCGCGCTGCCAGCGTTGCAGAATTGCAGGAAGCCGGGGCTGGAGGTCCAGTCCTCACGGGTCACATGGGGACCAGGGACCAGGGCAGGGGCAAAGGGACTTTCCTAGGGACAGCCAGACACTGGGGACCTGGGAGGACGATTCCACCACCTGAGTCAGCCTTCTTGACAAACACACTTATTTTAAATACGTCCCAAGGAAGCTGGGCGTTTAAACATAGCCTGGAGGGAAATCTACCCTCAAAGTACAAAATCATTTGATAAAGCAAGTTTCTAAATTCCAGACACGTCATGTATGAGGAAGGTTGATTGTGTGATGAGGCACCATAAACGCAAGCCGTGTTTGTGTGCGGCAAGATGGCCAGTCTCAGGAATGGTTCCAGACGACTCCTGGTAGTACGTCGTGTGTGTCTAGGAAATAACTTCTGGAAAGTTGGTTGTCTCTCCAAGCACCTGCTTCTTTGTCTGTCTGGTTCAGCGGATGATGAGGAGTCTTGAGATGATCGACAGCCGCTTTTAACCCCCGACTCCTCCTCCTGTCCATAGCTGGGGGCCGCCCCTGCCCCTCCCGCCGTGAATTCTCGGGGAAGGTGTGCACCTTAGTGTCACCTCGGTCTAGACAAACCTCGTCACCCTTGGAAGATCAGAGCCAGCAACGTAGAAGACGTGGTTTCTGACCCTGAGAAGACGAAATTAGGAAGGTCTTCTGTCTCCTTACCCCCGATAACGTATTCTCGAAATGCAACTTGGAGTGATTTGAATGCATTTCCTCTTTTTTTAAGCAAATTGCGTTCAGCTTGTAGGCGCAGGAAAAAGCTGGCAGAGTTGTTTGACGCCGAGTTTGATTCACCTGTTCTTGGCTAACACTCTGGGGGCCGGGGGGTTGCGCACACAGCCTGCATCCCGCGGGAATATTGGTCGCATCCATAGAAGGCATCCACTTCCGAACAGATGAGCCCGTATTATTACTCTGTGGGGTCAAGGAAGGAAGCAGAGGTGACGGGAGCAGCTGTTTCTCCATCTCAAGGGGGCCCAGAGCACACCCAGGCTGAGGTGTGTTCGGCAGGAAGTTGCCGTCCAGCCTGCAGCCGGTGCCCTGCTCCCGGGGCCGGCTCAGCACCTAGCAAGGAGCTGGCAGAGCTGTCCCTCTTCTCATAGAGGAGCATGGAGGAGCAGTTGGCAGGTCTGAGGCTGACCCTGGGCACACTCCCAGCTTCAGCCTCCCCAGCACATTTAGAGGACGCGTCCATCGGTAGGGATGAAATAGCGCAGGTTGGAGGAAAACGAAAATGAAAATAACAAAAACTCAAACCAGTCCACAAACAGTCTGACAAAGGATCATAGATGCAATTTTTTTTCTTTTTTTTTTTTTTATGAGACAGAGTCTTGCTCTGTTTCCCCAGCTAGAGTGCCGTGGCATCAGCCTAGCTCACAGCAACCTCAAACTCCTGGGCTCAAGCAATCCTCCTGCCTCAGCCTCCCGAGTAGCTGGGACTACAGGCATGTGCCACCATGCCGGGCTAATTTTTTCTATATAGATTTTTAGTTGTCCAAATAATTTCTTTCTATTTTTAGTAGAGACGGGGTCTCGCTCTTGCTCAGGCTGGTCTCAAACTCCTGACCTTGAGCGATCCACCCACCTCGGCCTCCCGGAGTGCTAGGATTACAGGCGTGAGCCACCGCGCCCGGCCCACTGATGCAATTTTTGTGTTGTCCCTCTCTCTTCCTGCCACCAGTGTCCTGGGGTGGTCTGTCTGCAACTGGGACAGGGACCGCTGTCCCCTGGCTGATAGGGTCGGGTCCCAGGTGAAGCCGTGAGACTGGATCCTGCAGTTTGCAGGGGTGGATACGAAGGCTTCACACTCCAGCGGAGAAGGAATCAGAGGGCAGCTTCATCCTCCTCCCTGAATGAGACTCTGGGGTTCTCGCTGGGGCCGGGCCGAGTCCAGCTCACTCGAGCGCTTGCCAACACCCGTCCAGGCACAGGCTGGGACCCGCGCGAAGTGCCTGAGTGTGTGGCCGGAGCTTCCCCAGCCTTCGCCGCGCTGGGCTCTCAGCCTCTCTGGACACTTCCTGGGACCACCCGCAACCGCCCTTCCTCACTGCTCAGAGTTTGTTTTTCCAGTAGGATTAGTCTAAGAGTAAACGGCACAGGCCTCGGGGCCCTCCAAAAAAAAACCCGTTTCTGTGTAAAGTGAAAATTAGACTCTTAAATCTGCAAAGAAAGCTGTTTATCTTACAAATGTATTCTTTTTATTGGGCCACACATATCCAAGATAGAAAGATAAAAGGGAACAGATTCAGGCCATCACTTGGAGTGACAGGCAACGAGGCACCGCCTCATCCTCGACTTCCGTAGAACGTTCCGGAACAACCGTCTCTCCGTGTTTATCTGTAACGCGCCCCGGGAAAGCACCCTCCAAAAGCTCTTGCGGGAGTATGCCCCCCATCATGCTGATGCAGCTTCTATGGGATGGCTGCCACCTTGCTCCTGCTCGCACAGGTGGGCTCCTTGGAGGAAGCTCTCGGGCCGCCCAGACCCTGCTACACAAGGGCCTGTGGGAGCTCGACTTGGAAGGTGGCCCCTGCACACCTCTTTCCTGGGGTCCATGCGGGACACGTAAGTCCTGCTTGTAGTTCACGTCAACAGCTGTCGGCCCCCTGACCTACGCTGGGGGTCTTGACTGTGTTGCTGGGAGCACTTGGGCCGGATTTTAAACAGGCTCGTCGTTGCATTAAGCTGACCCTGTGACCGCAGCGAAAGGAAAGCCCAGTGCTGCCGGGACGGCAACTGCAGGGTGTCGGGCGGAAGTGGGGGGGGAAGGGAACGGGGCTGATGGAGATGGCACGGCAGCTGTTTGGACCTGGCTGTGGCTGAGTTGGAATTGGCATCCGGCATGTTCTTCTGGGCCGTCAGGGAACTGCCCCTGGCAGCAGCCCCTGGCGGGCTTGACCTGCAGGGTGTGGACCGCCCGCCGTGAGCGCGTGTAGAGCACGTGTCTGCCGTGACATTGCGACGCTGTCTTGTGCCCGACGCCCTTGCCTTCTTTGGTGGCCTTTCCGCCTTTTTCTGGACAACCGCCGTCTAGGGCTCCATGGGGTGAGGTGACCCACTCTGAGTTCTAGACGTGGTCGAGCTCAGTCCTTCTACCTGTGCAAAATTACAAGGCAAAAAATAAAAAATCTGCGTAGTTGTATCCTTTGAATAGTTCTTCCAACGCTGGTAAGAAGAGTTGGGGAGAATAGAATGAAAAGTGGGCCTTCAAAGAAAGTTTCCGGGGTGAGGATGAGGTCGTACACGGTCTAATTGCAGAGAGGGTGCTCCGGGCCAAAGGGTTTCCAGCGTTGCTTGGAGCAAACATCCAAATAAGACTTAAGCGTGTCTGCCTTTGTCTTGCTCGTGGTCTGTAAGTCCGTCCCTTTTGGGGGGTTAGCAGAGAACACCAGGAACGGAGGTTGCAGGATAAAATAGTTTGCATTTTCCATTGCTTGGAAGGCACAAATCTTATTTATTCCGATCTCTGTAGAGCTCACCGATCTGCTCGCTATCCCAGAGGGTCCTTCGTTCTCCTAGTGTGGCCTGGAGGGTGGGCTGGACAAGCTACGGCGAGGACCCTGCTAGTCTCGGGAGCTTGGACTCCGGGCCAGGCCTTCAGACCCCAGCTCTGTGGGGAGGCCCGAGAGGCAGGAGGAAAAGTGAGTCCAGAAACAGCTCTCTCATCTCCCGTCCTCTGAGACGCAAATTCCCAGCTCCCGCCCTGGTCCCCTGATGTCGCGTCTTTGGCAGTGTGATGTCAGGCCCGGGGTGTTGCCATGACATTTCCTCCAACGGCTAGATACTTTCCCAGTTTTAGCTGCTATGATGATCCGTCACTTCTGTGCAGCAGGCGGCCGCGTGTCAATTTTATTCCATTTTCTGCTGGTCCGGGTTCCGTACCAAATAACAGCAGGAGGCACAGTTTGTATCGATACTTTACAGAGGAAGTTCTCGAGTCACTGCGCGGGGATCGAACCGCGGCGCCGTGAGTTTGCGGGAGTCTCGCAGCTGAGTTCCTGCGTGCGACTTTGAATATGTCGCTGTATGTTTATCGCGGGCTAATTGTGGAACCGCATTTCCACGCTTTTTCTTCTCCCTTTCATGAGATTACACCAGCCAGCGATGGATACAAGACTCCGCGAAAGGAAGAAATGATCGGTTTGGGATAATTTTCTTTCCTGTCCCGAAATAGCTGTGTGTCTTAGGGACTCAGCTGAGCCACATTTTTTTCTTTTTGTATGTGTTGCTTGCTGTAATGCAAATATGATTTCCATCTCAGAGTGCAGTTTCCAGCTAGCCCGTATTATAAATTAATCAGATTCAACAAACACGAACATTTCTAAACTTTTGGAAAAAAAAATATATTTAATAGGAACTGAGCAAAAGAAGAAAATCAAACCAGCTGCTGACACAGCTGTTTCTTTTCTTGTTTAATTCAGTTCGATATAAAGGTACCATATGCCGCCTAAAATGATGATAGAAAAGATGAAATAATTTAAGAGAATAACAAGAAAATACATGAATTGTCAGCATTCTGTCAGATTTTAAAGAACGAAATAGACAGGTGCGGTATTGACATGTTTAGCTTTGCGCGGCGTTAGCAGTTTCGGGGCGAACGGCTCCTGACATGTGCCGAAGTGACGTGAGAACGTTTCTCCTCCGCTGCAGACATCGGCGAGGAGGCCGGGAGAGCCGCTGGCGTCCAGCAACCGGCGCTGCTGCGGGACAGGAGCCTGGGCGCGGCCATGAAGGACTGCCCGTACTGCGGCAAGACCTTCCGGACGTCTCACCACCTGAAGGTGCACCTGAGGATACACACAGGTGAGAGGGCGGTGGGGGGGGCGCAGCTCAGAGGAGGAGGAGGAGGCCCCGCCCTGGCCCGGGTCTGGCCGTCCTGTCGGTCACTAACACCGAAAAGTTCTCCCCGGGCCTGTCTGTGTGCCGCCGTGTGGGTCGGAATTGGCCCTGATAGCCTAATTCGCCACTTAATGATCGCCCTCCCCGATGACCCACGGACGTGCAGATGTGGCTTTCGGGCGGCCCAGGCCTTCGGCTCCAGGTCGGATGCCGACGGCTCCCCGCTGCCGGGCTGAAGTAGCACCTGCCCGGGTGTGAGTGATGTGAGCCCAGCTCAGGCTCTCTGGGGTGTGGAAGGGACTGGAGCAGCTTCCCCGGGTGTCCAGGACGATGGGCTCGTCCCTGGGACCAGGTGGAGGGAGTCAGGCCCCTGGAGCGACACGGGTGGACAGGAGTGTTCTCCCCGCCGGGTCTCCCGGAAAGAAAAACTAAGATGGTCCTAAGCAGACAGGAGGACGTGGCTGCCGGACCCCTCTGGTTTTCTCTGGTTTTGGCATCAGGCTGGCCAAGAATGGGCAGTGGGGACATCTCTGCGTGGTCCCTCGGCCATCGTCCTCATTTGCTTTTCTGTTAGTCGTTCACATATTGACAATATTCCCCCCCGCCCAAATCTATCTGAGATATAGACACCTCCATTTCCTTTGATTTTTCTTCTGACGCTTTGTCTATTGGACTATGAGCTGCTGCAGAGGCTAGACAAATGCGCCATCTATTTTCAAAAATAATTGTGGTTTATTTCCCGAGGAATCGATAAAGCAGCTCAGGGTTGCGCAGGAATATCGAGTACCCACGGGCCTCGTGTGTGTCCTGTGGTTAAAGACAAGGGCCCCTCACCTGGAATCTCACCTGGTGCCTACGAATCTCCCCGGCACTGAGGGCAGCCCGAGGACGGATGGGCACAGGATGCTTCTGGCTGAACGCCCCGGGCGCAGGTGGGCATCGTCCCGGGCCCTGCTCCTCCCGGAGCACGCCTCTCACGGGGGCATCTCAGGCCAAAGAGGGGTCTTTTAAGACTCTGCACAAGGTCCCAGCGCTCTCCCAGAAGGCCCCGTGCCACCCGGCCCTACCTCACTCCCAAACCCATCCTGCACTGCCCTTCATCCTCCTCCTCCTCTCTCTGAGATGCTGCTGGCCTCCCTCCTGGGCCTCCAGTGCAGCTGCTTGTTCCTCCTGCAGGGCCTCCTGCCCGCCACCGCCCCACCCGAAATGCCCCAGCTGCTCCCTGGGGGCTTAGCCTGAATGGGAACTGTTCAGAGACCATCCCTGACCACCCCTCCTGAAATACCCCTCGTGCTCCCTGCTTCATTTTCTCCGTAAACTTAACACTTTCAGACACGATCTTGTTCGGGTCGGGTGTTTGTTTCCTTACGTGTTTTTTGTCTCCCTGACGCCCCCCCCGGCAGAATCTCAGATTTGTGAGGGTGCCGATATCGTCCGTCTTTGGAACGGCCACCATTTCTGTAACCCCTGTGCCTGCCAAAGCACCTTATACCCAGTGGGGGCACGATGATTTTTCTGGAAGGTTGAATGACAGAGCAAATGCTCCAGTGCATGAGTGACTTCATCCCGTCATCCCCGTGCTGTGCGAGGGGACACACAGGGGACGAGTGCACTAGGGAAGGTGGCCCCTTCCCCACGGGACGCATGAGCCCATTGGTAGCCACAGCCTGGCGGTCAGGCTGCAGGTGTGGGCTTCCTGGGGACCGACGGAAGGGAAGACCCCCTTCTCTAGGAGTGCAGGCAGCGGTCCCCGAGTTCCTCAGGGTTTCTGCGCTTTGCCCTTCTCTGCCAGATACCTGCATGGCTCGCTCCTTCCCTTGCGGGGTGCAGCACTGATGTCCCCTTCTCTGGGAGGCGTTCCCTTCCCTTTCCCCGATTCCTTTTTCTCCCCCGCGTTCACCCCATCTGATTCTGCTGTCGTCTCTCTCCGTGTGCTGGAACGTGAGCTCTGTGAGAGCAAAGGCTGTGTCTGTTTGTCCACCTGTGTCCCCAGGGCTTGGCTCAAGGCGTGCACTCAGGAAGCATTTGGTGAATGAATGAATTAGCAAGTGAATTAGTGGAAGTGACCAGGCTCGAGGGAAGTCGGCTTAGACATCCGGCTTTCTCAGATTAG